TTTTTTGAGCGTAGCTGAAAAAAATGTTACATTAGCTTCAGGTGTACAATAGTGATTTGACAAGTTTATACATCATGCTATGGTCACCGCAAAGTATAACTACCATCTGTCCCATTACATCGCTATTATAATGTCATTGACTACATTCCTCATGCTCTGCTTTTATTCCTGTTACTTACTCATTCCATAATTGGAAGCCTGTATCCCCTTCCCCCTTTTACCCATTTTGTCCAAACCCCACCCCCTCTGGCAACCATAAGTTTGTTCTCTGTATGTATAGTTCTGTTCTGCTTTTTGTTTGTTTATTCATGTTTTTTAGATTCCATTTATGAGTGGAATCATATGGTATTGGTCTTTCTCTATCTGACTTATTTCACTTAAAGTGATACCCTCTAGGTCCATTCATGCTGTCTCAAATGGGAAGATCTCATCTTTTTTTTTTATGGCTGCATAAAATTCTTGTGTGTGTGTGTGTGTGTGTGTGTGTGGAGAGAGAGAGCGCAACGTATTGTATATATTGTAATTTGTATATATGGTAGTATTTTATACATGTAGTAATTATCTCTCTCTCTCTCTATATATATATCTATATCACATTTTCCTTATCCATTCAGAAAGACTAAGTCTTTGTTACTTAAATTGGGTGCACAGACCCACAGCATAACACTCGACTGGAGCTTCTCAGAGCTACAAAGTCTCAGGCCCCACCCCGGAAGCTGCATTACCACAAGAGGCCCAGGTGATCTGCATCCACGTTGAGTTGGAGAAGCACTGGACTAACTCACCAGGCCACAGATGACAGAGACTCTGGAATCTGGCATGTTTTATTTTCCAGATTGATAATCATTGGGTGCAGCAAAAGCTGGGCATCCACGGTCACAACTGGTCTTGCTCTGCAGGGAGAAGACACAGGGTTATAATGAGCCACATGAGCGACACCCCACTTCCAGAGGCCGCTGCCAACATTCCCAGCCTTTGTGCCAAGAATTTGCCTCACTGCGTGAGACTTAACTCACTACCTTAAAACATATGTGGTCGCTCATGAATACAAATAAAGGATGCTATGGGTCTGTCAAGCAAAACCGCATTCACGGAGCTGCTTTGTGTGTGGAGTGGGCTCCAGGTATTTTGGAGATATTGCTGTGAAGTGTGCTCTGGGATCTGCTATCTTCGTATCTGAGGAAACACATCCTTCTATACTCACTCATGCCTGTAAGTCCTTGACTTTTGCAAATTTCCTTTCATGATGGGCTGATGGTTTTTTATTTTGTTGGATAATTTTCTATCCAAGCTTTGCAGATTGAGCTAAGCACATAAGGGTGGGCTGACAAGATCATTGTGTACTTCACACAGAGCCGTGGTTCTCAACCCTGACTGCATGATAGAAGCACCCAACGAGTTCCCAGAGTGGTAAAAAAACCTCAGGGGGTCAGGGCCAGGCGTCGGAATGTTAACCAAACCCTCCAGGTGGTTCTAATGTGCAGCCAGGTGTGAGGAGAGGGACTAAATGTACAGCAAACTCAATTTTCACCAAGGTGAGGATAATGAGCCAAGCAAGTAACTCATGGGGGAAGGGAACTGGGCAATTTTTAAAGCTCTGTTCCAAGATAGGAGAGCTAAGAGCCAAGTCTCCAGATGACAACGTGAAATGATATTGAGTTGGGTAAGTTTTCCTCTGAGGGGAGGGAGGGCCGTGCTTTGGGATGGTGTGTGTTTAGGGCACGACTTTAAACAGTTTCATGATTACCACAACAGCCCCCCTGGGAATATTCCCGAACTCCTTTACACTATTTATCTGTGCTTTGTTACATAATTTTGTTTTTAATATTGTGTTAGCTCCAGTCCTTGAAAAAGCAGACGGTAGGACTGAGTTAGACATGCAAGATAATCACTGGGGCAAATACCTATGAGGGAAAAAAAAGGCGGGAGGGAGGAGGCTGGCAGCCAGCCATCAGACTGTGATGGAGGTCTGGTCCCTGTGAAGGAGTGAGGGAAGGAATGAGGACTGGGTGGTGGATTTAGACCTTAGCAACTAGCCCATGAGTTCATCAGCCCTGAGTGGGGCATTGTCATGGCCACCGTAAGCACAGCCCCATCCTTTAGGTACCTGAGCTTTCCAATCATCTGATTCTCTATAACCCAAAGCGGTGAGTGGTGGGTATACATCAGTCTATGAGTATGTCTTGGAACTGATGGAGAAAATCTCACTTACTTGAGGAGACCTAACTTTAGAATCGCACTGGGGGTTGGGCTAGGTTAGTATTATGTGCCCAGAACACGTGGGGCTGCTCTCTGCCTTTTGTTTTGATATCCTGATCTAATGTCTTGAATTCCTATAAAACTTTTTTTTTAAGAAGAAAAAAGAATCTAAAATTTTTGAGCACCATTGTCTACCAGTAACTTACTATTCTGTGTACTTTACCTGCAGATTCCCACTCAATCCTCTTCACAAAAATAAACTTCTAAAGCAACTATTGTTATCCCTCTTTAACAGACAGAAAAATCAGAGGCTCAGAAAGTTGTAGGAACTTGCCCAAGACTACACATGAGTGAGTGTGTGGAATGGCTAGGCTTTTGAATCTAGACCTGTCAGATTTGAACTTTTGTTCAATACTTGCTTTTGGAGTATTATTTTGGTACATTTCATTCCCTAACTTAGTCTCCACACCTGATTTATATAAACCTCCTCCCACTGGTACCCCTTCTCTATAAACACGTTTTAATGCATTTCCAATGCAAAGAGAAGAATTCAAACATAGAAACATCTAAAGAATGCATCATTTTATAAGTTCTGCTAAGATTCATATCTTTATTTAACATTACGTTGGTAGGGGCTGGAAGTTTGGTCATGAGGTATGAGATTAAAAAAGACAGAGAGATGAAAGAAAGGAGAACAGTAGAGAGCAAAACTTCCTCCAAACTTTAAAAGGAGCATCTAAATGTTCTCCAAAATAAATAGTTGGGATATACTCTTGAAGGCGAAACTAGCAGCAAAAAGGAAATGCACTTGAAACAATTAGAGGACATTTGCATACCACAAACCACGTACCTGTAAACAGCTACTTTTCCTGTTCCGAATGCACCTACAATTAAATCTAAAAAAAGACAAAAACTCAAAACACATGCACACATTTTATAGAAACAATCTAAGCTCATATTCATAAATAGCATATAGCGCATCCTGAAATGCTGATTGTAGAGTGAGGCTCATCCAGTAAGAGCAGTAAATTGCACCTTCCTTAAGACATTCTGGAAAGGATGTTGGAACTTCACTGTAACTCAGTAGGACACACAAACCAGTAGATCTCAATCCCTTCTGGACTCATGAATGCCAGCTTTCTAGAAATGCTTTAAAAATGCATCATAACGCCATTTCTCCTATCCTCCAGACTGAAGGCCTACATCTTAAGGAAAGTGAAAGGGAAAAACCATGTGCTTTAGTGCCTGTATGTACTGGGCATGTTACACACCTTGTTTTCCCTTTCCCTCCAGCAATGACCCTGCGAAGCTGGTCTTATTATTTATTACAAAATGGGACATTTTGACTGTCCATCCTTTTGACACAACCATTTGCTCTTTATGAATAGTGTGGATGGTGCGTATCCTCTTGGCAAAGGGATTGGTAGTTTATGAACTAATTAATGTGTCATTTTAATGATCTTCAATAACAACAACAACAACAACAACAATAATAATAAATAGCACATGTTGAACACTTGCTCTAGGCCGGGAATTCTTTTGAAGGGTTGACCTTAATTATTCCTAATAAGAAGCTAGGAAGTCTCTATTATTTGCACAGTTCTGCAGGTGGCTAAATGGAGGCTTAAGGAGGCGAACCTATAAATTCACTGAAGTCCACGCTAGGCGAGAGGTGGGGCTGGTCTATGGCAGTGCTGGGTAACAGAGCAATCCTAGGCTGTCTGAGGGGTAACGCTCACGCTGATTGCAGTGCTTGGCTAAAACACAGGTAAAGCGGTCTGTTTTCCTAAATCTAATGTATAGTGATTCCTCTTGGTAGATGCAACCAAACCAACATACAGATGACAATGGCTGAATCTGTAGAATAAAATTTAGGTGTTGATGTGAGAAAACTGGACCCGGTAGAAATAAGGGCCACAGAAGAAAACTTACACAGTTGAGACCATAAGTGGTTAATCCTAGGAGAGCAGAAATGAAAATTAAAAAAAAAAAAAGAGGGGCACTTCTCTGGCCAGTCCATATGGAAAACCAATCAAGGAATTAAATTGGTCTAATGGAGTCTGCACAGGAAAATGATTTGTAGCCACGTTCCCTCGGCGCTCACCTTCCCTGGACGTAGGAGCAGCATCGGACTGCAAGCATGATTCCCCCTGGAGGCCGGAAGTGCCCCTGGCCTGAGCCCTCAGCTAATGATGGATGGAAACAGGCGATGACCAGGAACGGCCGCTTCCTTACCCCTCCAGTGGGATAACTCTGGAGGCATGTTCTTCCCTGTCTCCCACATGTCCCCAGCTCCCGCTACGCACTGTGTCAACCTGCTTCGCACCCATCTTCCTTCCCATGGCCTTCGTCCTCCTCCCTTAGCAATGTTTCTTCGGACCATTTCTCACATGACCCGCTTGTTTTCTAATCCTTGTCTTAATGTCTGTGCTGGAAGAACCCAACTTAAAACAACAATAGTTCTTACTAAAAATGTTTGTTTTTCAAAAGAAAGGGACTTCAACATGTTCCAGGTTAAAACCACAGTTGAGATGTCTCGTGTTTTATAGATACAGAGTCAGATTTGGGTCATAGGTTCGAGACTGGACTCCCAAACTCCGTATCTAAAAAAGCGCATATGCAAATGTTCAAAGAAGTCAAATGCAGTTCATTTTGAAGAATTCTTTATTCGTGAGATTAAAAGACACAGTAAGAAAAAAGACAATGTGACCAGCTATGACTTATGGCATAAAATAGTCTTTTCCAAAGAGTCAAGTCTTTGAAGCCAGAAGCCAAAGTTTAGGAGTCTACCAATTTTAAAAATTGTATCAGAGTTTGAACTTTTTCGAATATTTTCACATTTATTTTTTCCTGTTACATTCGTCTCTTCCAGCATATCCGTGCATTTTTGCTATGTCAGGGGAAGAAGAGCTACTGATTTGAGGAAATGTGAACTCTGTTCTCCCTGTGTACCATGCTCTCCAGGAGTTACACAGAACACCGGTGGCCCTCAGCCTGACCCCTATCTATTGACCTGACACCAGACAAGAGAGTTCTATTATGAAAACTGATTCCAGAGGAATCATGTGCTTTGTTTTTGACTCCAAATATGGTGAAATATTAATATACCAAGATTAGATACTTTATAAAAGATGAGTTTTAAGAATGGACTCCTCTGGAAATGGCCAAGAAAACAAGACTGTGAGCTCTTCCAGGGCAGGAATCTTTCTTTGGGCTCACATATCACAACTACTTCATGGAATGGTACAGGGTGAAATAAATGAAGGAAGAAAGAAAAAAATCTTTGCATCCGCAGTACCAGGCACTGGGCCAGATTGGGAACAGAGGCTTTATAAATACTTGAAATAAGAGAATAAGTAATAATGAGATAATGTACTAAAGATGAGTAAGGTGAAGAAAATGGGACAGTTGTTAAGACAGGCTCATGGAGGGGCGCCTGGGTGGCTCAGTTGGTTGAGCGACTGCCTTCGGCTCAGGTCATGATCCCGGAGTCCCAGGATCAAGTCCCGCATCGGACTCCCTGCCCCGCGGGGAGTCTGCTTCTCCCTCTGACCCTCCCCCATCTCATGCTCTCTCTCTCTATCTCATTCTCTCTCTCAAATAAATAAAATCTTAAAAAAAAAAAAAGACAGGCTCATGGAAACCACAGTTAAATTCTGCTGGATTTCTGCATATGTGAGTGTGCACGGATGCATGCACACACATACACACACACACACAGAAGCTCCAGATTCTAGAAAATTCCAGAAAGAAGTATAGAAGCTGCATCACAACTCAATCATCATTGTAGACAAAAAGATGAGAGACACCCCCTGACAGTAATGAGCAAGAGGCCTTTTCCTTTAGAAACTTTGATTCCTATGCCTCAGGATTGGAATTTTACTTCTCTGGAAAAATAAAGTAACTGGCAAAAAAGGCCACAATTTTCGTCATGAGACTGTGGCCACAGTTATTCAGAGGCCAACAAAACAGTTATCTACCAGGAAAGTATGTTTGCATCTGGAGACACCACCTTGGTATTGTGCCTGCTGGAGAAGGCCAGAAACATTTATGCTCAGGACCTTAAACTTCTGGGATCTCTCTAAGGGGGAGAATTGATCTGCCAATTTGTGTTCCTAACCGATTTGCCCCTTCAAAATAGATGATTTGTTTTAATAAGTACTATGTGGTTTCCATATATATATATATATATATATATACACACACAGACATAGTTATATGATCCTTATATATACATACATATATATTGATGTTTGTGTATGTATGTATACACAGATATGTATGTCTATCCACATATACATGTCTGTACAGATAGACATGTGTATATATTCATGTATATATGCACATACACACTACTTTTTGAATCTTACATAATTCCGTCATGCTTAGGAATTTAAAGGATAATCTGAAGAGAAAGTAATTTTGGTACTGATACTTGGGATTCGTAACTCTGCAAACTTTCTTTCTTGCTTTGAGATAACAGGTCTTATACCATTATCTAATGTTTATTTTCCTTTCTTCTAGAAACTTCTTAAGGGCAGGTTCTGAAAACAAACAAAAAATTTTGCCTTTATATAAGACACAGCTATTTTTTTTTCTTGAAGAAATAACTGGTGACTAAAATCCGTTCTTTCCCCTTAATCTAAAATTATTCCCAAAATGCTGGAGCCCTTTGTTATCACCTCACTTTGCCTGGGAAACAGTTTATTTTCCTTTTGGCCTTTGATGAAACAACTGCATACTTTTAAGGATTCAAAAAGGGGAACATTAGCATGAATGCAGGCTCAGTTGGCAAGAAAAATAACCCTAAAAATGTGAGGTCATAGGATATGTATTACACCTCTGTTCTGTATTCTATTTCTCCAAAATTATTATTATTAAACGAGAGAGAAGAAAAGAGCCAAACTTTTAAAGTGGTACTTGGACTATAGAGGCTGATTTTATTAACCTAGGAAGGAAATTTTAGAGTTGGAAGAAGTTCTATGTGAAAACAGCTTTGTTTTGAGTGTGGGTGTAGGTGGGCAGGAGGGAGTGGAAACTTTCTAGGGGTGGGGGGACAGGGGCCGATGGGAGGGGAGACAGCAGGAAGAGCGGCTACAGTAATGCGTTAGAGGATCACTCAGAATCCTTTAGGAGAAGTCCCTTTGGCCATCCAAGCGTCTACATTTCACAAGATGTGAGCCTTCTTACTTTTTCTTCCTACTCTCTTGTCTTGTTGAGAAATGTACTAATGCTTATGTCTGTGGCCAAAGATGCCATCAGAGCCCTCCTTTTATATTTTGGAATTAAGAAACATTTACTGTTTTAGAATAATCCTAGACAATGAGAATTGCCATAAGGAACTTCCAAACAATTGAGAAATATGGTAATGTACAGCTAACAGTTGTATAAAAAGATTACAATGACTCCAGACAGAAGGCCTCCTTAAACGTGACCAAAACAATGTGGAAATCACAAAGGAATTTTAAAGTGTAAAGTCTTTTGCAAAAAGTCAAAGCAGGGTCCAAAGAGATATGAAAGGAACAGGGGAAGATGTTTATAATGTATATGCCTGATCAAATGTGAGTATTTTTCAATGCTTACAAGAATGTCTGGTACATAGTAAAAAAAATAAATATTAATTATTATTAACCCTAATTCATACTGAACCCACACAAATTAATAATAAAACTATAAACATTCTAATAAAAAGGTTGTAAAGAGGCAATTTACATAAAAATAAATAGCCATGACCAATAAATATATAAAAAGATGTTCAGCCTCATTAGTCAGCAAAGAAATCCAAATGAAAGGAACAATGAGGTATCATTTTTGACCTTTCCATTGGAAGAGATGAAGGATTCGTGGCAGGCAGTGTTGGGTGGAGAGCAGAGGACTGAGAACTCAGGCTGTCTGT